TAAACTATTGTGGCAACTAACAATTTTTCTCCTTGAATCACACAGGAATTTAAAAAGGAAAAAGTTGTCTTGGTTACGGAATGAATATACAGTATACATCATTTCAATGAATAATTTTTTGGCCTCTGCGGACAATAAACTTAAAAAAATTAGTTTCCAACCCGTTTTGTTATACTGTATACAGTATTTACAATGATAGGCATTTCAAGACGGTAAATGTGTATAAGATAGGCTTATGTTACAGTGGTGGTCGACACGGACTAGTCACCCAATTATCATGCCCAATCGAAATAGCATGCTTACCTATATCAAACTACTGTTTTGAGTCATAACAGACAATTAATTTGATAAGTGTCCCGAAATACACACAAACTAAGCTAACACGATTGATGTTTCATAAGCTTTAAATAAAAATTATTAATATCTTTTTAGCTTTTATCTCTTTTGTGGCGTTAAGCCTAGATTTAATCGCTGTAAGCACACTCAGTGCATACACTACATAGTATATGACTCGCTGACTACCAGTCAGAGATGACAGCGCATCCCGCACTAGTTCTCTACTTCATTTTCTGAAGGGATATTTGCCAAACAGTTGATAAGAGCGACCCTAGGTTTGTATCGCATGTGAGGAGACAACATTAACTGTGTACCGTTGCCGTTATCGACTATGGACAACACGTGTCGGGCGTGTCAGTTGCCCCTAGACAAGACAACCCTGGTGTTGTTGTAGTCAGCTGATCTTGTTATCGGATCGATGGCAGCCACCTGTTGCTCGGTGACTCAGGGTACTTTCTGTTTGTCGACCGTCCACCGTTATTCCCCACTGTTTGGCAGTCTCCGTCGGAATGTCGGTGTACAGTATTTACAATTAAAAGGGTTGGCCTGCATGCAAATTATTGTTCGCGTAAAGGATTGTTTTACTTTGGGAATAAAAGTTTCGTCTTACTGCAGCAAAAACTCCCTAGGGAGTAAACAAGCCTTTTTAGTCCCTAGAGAATAAAAGTCAGCTGTTGTAAACAGTTGTAAATTCCGATTGTAAGCATCGGATCGTATTTATTGACAATTGATTTGCTAGGTTAGGTTTAAGCTTTGACTATTGATACAACTAAGTTAGACATTCTATCCCTATGTTAGAGTTGTCGCCAGTTTTTTGTATTAAATTTTTCGTAGGCTAGTTAATGTGGGCCACTAACAGATTGCGCTGATCTAAATTGCAAAGTTTTGTCAAATACACAAGGTTTGACCAAGTCAAATTGATGTAACGACTTATTATGTATGAGCTATAGCAACTGGGCAACTGTTATGACCCATCAACTATGTCATCAACATGAGATTAGGTAAAAAATAGAATTTAAACACTAGCACATTCTTTGACTGGCTCCCACGTCTACATTCTTTTTTAGTAAAAAATGGCGACAGCTGGTAAGATGGGATGTCTACTGCTGTATTCAATAATCAATGGTTAGCTTATTGTTGCATTATTGGCAACCGTTCCAAATATCGATCGTATCATTGTACAGTAATCCAATCGTAATCAGACGAAATTATTTAATTGCGTACTAAACAGCAGGTACATTAACGAAGTTGAAAGCAGGCCCGAAGTAGTCAAAGTTATCATTTTTGTAAAGAATATTTATGTTTTCAAGCTCAGTTTGTTAATTAAATGATGCAATAGGACGAAAAATGTAGTTCGTCACACCGGCAAAAAGTGTCTTTTAGCCCTCTCTCATTTATTTTGTGAAACTTGAGCTCGGGTCTAACAGAGTCGCTTTACGCCCTATACTATTTTTATGTGTTGCATTTGAACATTAAAGTAGCTGCGAATCACAGCACTGATAGTGCTGTTACCTGGCAGGCACAGTGTTTGTTATCTCTACGCCTTTACAACCACCGTGACAAGTACTGTTGCCTTCGTGCGGGTGAATATCCAAGCTCTCGCACGAGTTTCAGTTTCCAGATCGCGATAACGTGTTTTGGAACACAATCTCTTAAATCTTTGCATTTCGTAAGTTCATTTCGTTTAGCCTACACTCTTGTTGTGTGATGAGTTTAAGAAAGAATATAATATATATAGTATTGAGATTTGACGCTATCACTGAATGAACGATTTGGTGGACAAATAGATCGGAAATCTACTGCGTAGAACTTCACCAGAGTTTGATAGATTTGCGACATTCCATTAATTCAGAAGAATATAGCAGACTTTAGAATAGGGTTGTTTTTATAATTATTTATAACCAATTTCAAATATTAATTTTTTTGCTCAGTAAAGTATATTCTCTTCGCTCGCTTTAGTCAGTTCTTTTAGCAAATATTACCCTAGGAAAGTGGGTGTTTCGCTGGCTGTAGGCTATACTAATTTCTGTGTATACCACATATATACACAGTTTATGTTATGGGATTTAACACTGTATCTAATTAAAATTTAATATTCTTTAATGTTAATATAAAAAGTCTTTTTCTCCAAATTTGCCCCAAAATTTTAGCCGGGTTGGGTTTTGGGGGGACATCGACGACGGTGGGTAACCTGTTAGTTTGCGTTGTTGTAGCAGAGGTTTAATAGACAGATAAATACAGTTTTAGAGAAACACGGAGTACACTAAAACAGCCGCAAAAAGGCTCTCTAAACCCCCACGCAATGCTGTGGATTTTGATGGCGAGACCTAGGAATTGGTTTTAAAAAGAGTGCCCAGGAGCAGATAATGTTAACAAAGGAGATGTGACAGTCGACATCTCCTCTAAAACACTAATCCCAGGGTCCAAGGTGCAAGTTCCATATGATCGCAATAGAGGAGAGGGCTTTGACCCTCTGACGGGCCCTAACGCGAACAGAGGTCAAGGATCGGCAAAGATTATATTGTGGTTTTGGAGGGGTAAATATTTTGGGTACATGTCCTTTAAAGGCTTTGGGATTATTTAAATACATAATTAATTAGGGTATTCAACATCTTTAGATTTTCGATACGTGTAGGAATTCGGCAGGCCTACATAAAATCGGTGAATAAAAATTCGCATTACATAGTATCAGGCTTTGGTAAACCGATACAAATTAATTGCGTTTTTAAATTTTACCAAGACCAAGACTGAGGTGAAAAAATGTACCTTAGCTATATTAATAGCTAGTATATTTATTTAGGTGCTTAATAATCATGACTGTGTTAAAATATATTCTATGGCCTCAAGTATTAGCTGTTAAGTATACTCTACTTTTTTATACAGCACCATACAACTGTGATTCCACTCATTGGTGCAGCATTTTAGTCCAGTCCAGAGAAGAAGAAATGCCATAGCAATGTCAGCTACGACACTGTTTTGAAAACATGCCAAGTGAGTAAGCGTGACAAGAATGCGAGGGGCGAGTGGACGACCCCTAGGTATGGGGTGGCCGATGACGCGGCCGAGCTGGTCAGTGGCCAAGCAAACCAAACAAACACAGCTTCATGTAGTCTGTACACTTTATTATCATACTCAGAGTCTATAAACTGTCGGCAGTCGGCGTGAGACGTGTTTGGTGTAAGGTTCGTGTGAACACTGATAATCAAAGTAATTAGGCTATATTATTCATGTTCTTGTGGAATTCGTCAAGGAGCAAGAAGCTTACCGTACACCACCCCGTTATGATGGGACGTAAGTTGAATTTGGCGTTAGTATAGGTTTAATGACCCTATCGGGAATTGGGCGTTGTTTATATTTTTTGTGAACCAATTTGTTTGTTTACCTGGTCTTATACATTTTCATAATGAAAAAAGGATAAGGGTTGTGCAGTAGGCCTACCCAGCAGTCGCAACAGCCGCGTATAATGGCTGCGCAGTACGACGACTTGTACGCAGGCGCAATGGCTGCCGCTATTGTCCCTCCCGCTCGCCGACGACGGTTACTTTACTTTTATTTCTGTCCCATTTCTAAAACCCGTACTTTAGCGCGACATTATATAATTTAAAACAAAGAAATAATCATCATAAAAAGATCGGACAAAAGGGTCCGGTCGTTAAGCGGCTGATCGAATGGTACGGTAGAATGGCTCCGATGACAAGGCGGCGCGGCGCGGCTATGTTGTTGTCCGGCTGTGACTGTGGACTGTCGTGGAGGATAAGGATCATCCCCTCGAGTCCTCTACAGTGCTCTAGTCAACCCGGGGTAATACAGTTTAGGCGCTGTGTTGGAACTTACCCCATCATCCATAGTTGACCCTAGCCACAAAGTTGACTAGTGGCTGATTTGCAACGTTGTTGAGACGACGGACGATCGCGGAGGTCGGGCCTGATGGGAGGTATGATCGGTAAAGAGGTTCACCGCTAAGATAAAAACGTGCGTTCGCTGGAATCTAGGAGGAATGATGAACTAGTCGACATTAGTACGTAATTAGTCGCCATTATTGCGGTAGGTCGTCACATGCAGTTTCATTTATTGCGAGAAAAACGCCAAGAAATCGACCGTTAAAAAGAAGTAGTACGGACTTATGTTTTTTTCAATGTTACTTTACGATTACACCGGTGTTTGAAGTCTCCGGCGAGCGCCATTGCGCTATTCCTTCAATTTACATTCTTTCTCTCTGCACTGGAATATGTCACAAAATTCTCATCTTTTTTCCTATTTCACCGCGTGTTTATTGGCATTCTCGTGTTTGCTTTATTGAATCGGCCGCGGTAACGGACGCTAAGTGTTCCTCATTCATCCTCCAGCCTCTAGACAATTACCGAGCGCACTTCAGTCCTTTCTTTCAACGCCCTTTGCAAGGTATTTTCATTACTGCGTTAAAGAACAATCTTAATCTCCGAGCACTTCCAGTATTTGGCTTTAAACGATAATTACTCGATATTTCGAAATACGCCTTCACGCTCCATTTGGCGAGGGTACTCATCATATATGTGCAGTATTGTGTATTGTTCAGTCACATGTACTGTTTTGCAAGTGAGTATTTTATTTGCGTGTTTGTATTTTACGTTGTTTATATTTTGATACAGTTTAACTAATGTTTTTCTGTTTGTTTTGTGTTACAGGGTTAGGTGAAGTCTTGACACTAAGTGCTTGCCTGCTGTTCCTAGTCCGGTGGCCCAGTGCTATGGCAGCACCCACACAACGACGTCGTCCCATCCCTCCTAGTAAGCCCAAGATGTGGGTCGACCCTTGCGGCGTCGGACTGTCCCAGCCCCTAGACCACGACGGCACGGACTACCATCAGCTGGACGAGATGCTGACTGACCAACAGATGCTGACCAATGTACTACAGATGGCACTCAACGCACTTACCTTCGTCGATAGCTTTAAACATGAATACGTAAGTAGCAAGTAAACTTTTTTAGTAGTTATAGTTAAGAAACAGTGCGAGCTACCAGTCAATTTATTCTGACGGACGATCACAAGCGTATGCGTGCTCAACTCGATGTACTGGCCAGTTGACATCGTTTTCTTGCTTTGTTTGTGCAACTTACTTACCCAGTGTCTAGAATGTCCTTTACCAGTATATTGTTAGTAGGCCTACTGTAAGTGGTAATTATGATTCGCGATATGTCGATCGCAGCTATTAGAAGAATATCCCGCTTACCCGCTTCCTTCACAAACATTTCCGTAGTCTGGTCGATGTCCGGCCCACGGCGCAGCGCTTGCATAATGAGCTTGATTCGTCCCAAACCATAAAGTGGTGTATGCGGTGCATAATAAGGACATCGTCTCGCTCACGGAATAATATAAGAGGGGAGGTGTAAGCTGCGTTAGTTATGGGGATCTGCTGTTATGGCATTAGCTTTGTGATTTAAATAGAATTTGTATAAGTTGTATTAGCTTGAAATTGATCTTCCTACAAAAATTGAGCCGTTGTTACACCGTTTAAGTAATGTAACTCTACGAAGCCCAGATAGATGAGAATGTTTTTCCGTTGTACAATTCAATTGGACATTTATTCCTTCACATAATAAAAAAAGTCTTACGGTTAGTATAGCACCGAGATTATACTACGACTCTGTCTGGCGTGGTAGCAAGGGGTAGTAATCGCACTGTTGACTACGTTGCCGTCATCACGAGAGTGTAACTGTTCAGTTCTGCTGACACAGCCACTGACAGTCGTAGCTAGCGACACTCTGTCTGGCGTGGTAGCAAGGGTAGTAATCGCATTGTTGACTTCGTTCCCGTCATCACGAGAGTGTAACTGTTCAGTTCTGCGGACACAGCCACTGACAGTCGTAGCTAGCGACACTCTGTCTGGCGTGGTAGCAAGGGTAGTAATCGCATTGTTGACTTCGTTCCCGTCATCACGAGAGTGTAACTGTTCAGTTCTGCTGACACAGCCACTGACAGTCGTAGCTGGCGACACTCTGTCTGGCGTGGTAGCAAGGGGTAGTAATCGCATTGGTGTCGTCCCCATCTCAATGATTGATAATTGAAAATAATTGTTGACCACGTCCCGTCATCAAAACAGTGTAACTGTTCAGTTCTGCGGACACAGCCACCGACAGTCATAGCTGGCAACACTCTGTCTGGCGTGGTAGCAAGGGGTAGTAATCGCATTGTTGACTACGTTCCCGTCATCACGAGAGTGTTACTGTTCAGTTCTGCGGACACAGCCACCGACAGTCGTAGCTGGCGACACTCTGTCTGGCGTGGTAGCAAGGGGTAGTAATCGCATTGTTGACTACGTTCCCGTCATCACGAGAGTGTAACTGTTCAGTTCTGCTGACACAGCCACCGACAGTCGTAGCTGGCGACACTCTGTCTGGCGTGGTAGCAAAAGGTAGTAATCGCATTGGTGTCGTCCCCATCTCAATGATTGATAATTGAAAATAATTGTTGACCACGTCCCGTCATCACGACAGTGTAACTGTTCAGTTCTGCTGACACAGCCACCGACAGTCGCAGGTGGCGACACTCTGTCTGCTCTCAAGAGGCTTCTTGGAATGTACTTAATCACCTGATACATATCGTGTTCCCACATACTGGGCAACTATCCTCATATTCTATCACATAAACTACTTGGACTTGTTTGCAAATTAAACTTACTCATAACATCTCATGGCTGTATAAAAAGTAAGGTATGCATAATCTAGAATATCAATGTTACGTTAGAAGTTTAGAAACAACGTGTCTTCACTTTTTTCGATCAGTTGCTGCGATCGTACAAAAGGAACGTGAGAATTTGTCGCCGGCGTCAAAGAGTTTACTCTGTTATCGTCTGTCTTTGTGTCTGTCTTGTCACCTTCTAAGAGTTTGGGCATACAGACGCGCCCTTCCGCCGCCGGATCCTACTGACGTCCCGGCCGATACACGCATCTCATCGCTTACAAAAACTTAAGCTACTAAGGCCTAACCCACAACTGATGATTTTTTTCTCTAATCTTGGTTTATTATTGTGATTATTACAGGAAGCAATTATCTTTTACTTAGCAAAGATATTTTTTGCAGGGAATATTGATTTAGGATAATCACAGATTACTCGAGTGGCGGGCTAATATTACGCGTGATCGGAATTATCATATCAGTATTCACAAACGCTATAGAAGTTCTCAATGGTTACTACTACTTTTAAATAGTGTTTTACTTATCTACAGTACAGTGACGTCTCCTAGTTTGTTATCAACAGTGAGTGACGCTGCGGAGAGCCCTGCGTCGTCACTTCCCATGACGCGCCTACGGCACGACGCGGTGGCGGTAGGACAGCGGCAGAACAGCATTACAGTGGCATGTAAGTGTCCCACGGTGTGCGCCTGTCAATTTCCGGCCTCTATGACGTGACATGTCATGCAAGCTATTGAGATGTCCAAATAACGATAGGGCTTGTCCGCTCACCGACCAACAGATTCAATTATCGACTAATCGTTTACAAATTAGTGTCAGCGACGCACGCGATGACCGTAATCGTCCGACAGATGAGAAAACATACTACCCGATCCGATGACATCCTACCGTAGGGCGGTGTCGGTCGCGGGGCATACAAGGCGATGTTTTCGGCGCCGTTTGTAGGCCACGGATCACGCAATGTCACTCGACACGACACAAGTCTCCGGTGATAACCGATGTTTCACTTAGAAACTCGCGTTCATTGACGTTCTGGACGGGATTTGTCTCGCATGCAGGAATGCCATTTGTTTGGTTACATCGCGGGGGCAGGCGGGACCCTACACGTGGTTGTTTACACCAGCTGCGGCCGTGTGCGATTAGCTCAGCATTAACATGACACCCAGATATGAAATCACCGCCAACAATGATGAGAACCATTCATACAACTCCACACATTCTTGATATCAGCTGAATGGCACGATCGCTCCACCCTCGGCACAAAATCGCAGTTTCATATTCATTAATTGGCGATTGATTAAATCGATAAGTCTGCTTGATTTCCTATCAAACAATTCCTTCTAATGGTTTGATTTATTTAATTGGTCAAAGCAGTAAATTATATAGTTTATAGATTATAATAGACACGGGCCTATACATACCGTATTCTTAGTTCTACATAAGTAGTCATAATATATGTTATTATTGAATCCAATTTAACTGTCTTGTTACATAAATATCGTGATATCAATGCATCTAGTACTACATGTCTTATGGTGTGTGCAGGTACAGGATACGTTTCAACAGGATTTCATGAAGCACCACCACGAGTGGAAGAGCCACACGTACGATTGGCTGCCTCCCAGTGATTTTCCGGTCCCCAAATCTCTGGGCATCAAAATTAACCATTCCCATCTTCAGAACATCCAGGTAAACAGCATTTAAATTAACATTTTTTATTGATTTATAATGTTGTTCCTAGAAATCCAGTATTTACAAAATCTTTTCACCTAACCCAATTTTAAAGAGTAGTACTGTAGTGTATCGCACTAATAATGACGTTGGATATGTCAAGCTACATTCGTTGGCAGCTCCTAGAAGATGGCTCATTCTGTATACGTGTTTGCAGATGGACGTGTTCCTGAGGGACGCCTACCGCTACTTGCAGATCATGGCTGTGGCTCTGGAGCAGGTGGAGTGGGACAAAGGCAACAACGGCAACCCGGCCTACCAGGAGAACTTCAGAAAAGTGATGCAGAGGCTACGCTTAGTACGTATCTATCCTGTATGTAACTAGGCCTACTCTCAAGTAGACATGCATGCCGCATGACTGCCTATAGATCTCTCTATATAGAGATCCATGCACGTGGCCTGGGGGAGAGTGAACTGAAAATAACTAAGCTGTGTGCACTAATATTTTAAACGAATCGACTCCTGTTTAGACTCGGGATTAGAATCAAAATCCCAATTCATTGCCATTATTGTAACAATCTGTTAGATTTGTCAGTAATTATTTGTTTTAAAGAGTAATTTATTATAAACATTGTTCTCTTTTTGCCTTCCTCCCCCGGCACCCACCCCTTTCACCATCCTCCGAACACCCTTCTGTAGGCCTACACGTTTGTTTGTTGGTGGATGGGTTAAGGTTAATTTTGTTGGACACTAGGATTGTAGTTTTACAAAAATATGAATTACATGTCAACAATTTGGATTCCTCACTATTTATAATAGTGTGTTGATGAGGTATCATTTTTGTACTTATCACTGTATAGGTGCATTTTACCAAATAAACACGCGGATGCTCAGTGTCTGTGGTTGTTACAGGTGCTGTGTGAGGTACGCACCGCCATGTTGGAACGTAAGGTGGCGTTCCACCCAGACGTAGACAGAGACATCATGAGGGACGAGTTTCGTGATATCGACAGCGACACCAAGCGTGACCTGCGCGACTGGATCATCTTCAGGGACTACATGATAGTGCTGGAGTACGTGATTGAAGTGGCCAAGCATTTCGTCGACAACCCCAACAGGATCCCTCCATCGTCTTGAAGGTCGTCCCTTCTTGGAGGACTGCGGTCGCGGCGTCTCCCTATGATCGTCTGATCCCACTCTCCGTCCCTACACCCCAACGGTCACCCTTGTCCCCCAAGAAGGTACTCTGTACAGTCCCTGCTGAAGTACAACTGTAGTCGATGTTATGTTCTATGTACATATTGTTGCTGTTTCATTGTTATCGCGCTAGATTTAGCATAAACTTCCTCGCTGCTGTATCGCAAGTTATTGTTACTGTGTAGACTTATTTATTGATATTGTTTTCATTTTACCGCTTTTCTATGCGATATTTATTTAAGTGCCCCAAAATGTATTTAACATCCGATTGTAATTGTTTAAAAAACACCGACCTTGGTAAAATGTGTTATTGTGTGACTCCTGCAGTTTAGTGGGTACTGCAGCAAAGGTTTGTAACTACTTAACTTAAGTTGGTTATTTTGGTTCAAATGTACTTGACAAATAACATGAAATTTATTCTATTGATGATTATATTTTGATGATTGTTTGCTCTTATTTTAATTTCTAGAATTGCTGCAGTATGTTTGAGTTTTTATGAAAAAACCATTATTTAAAATGTTTGTTGAGTACTAGTTTGTAAGATATTTTGGAGGTAATAATATTGAGATTCATAAAATAAATATATTGGTCCAATGAGAAGAATTCATTGAATTGACTTCAATTTAAGAAGTATGTTACTTATGTATGCCTACTAAAAACTATTTAAACGAAAAGATTTTGAAACATAAAAAAAGTTTTTTTTCTCTTTAAAAAGTTGCCATACAATTAGAATATTTCAAGGTATACAATTTTCATTATATTACTTTTTTGCAAGTGTCAAAGACAAAACCCCTTGAAGATCCTTCCCTCTTGAAAATGTTGAACATGATTTCGGAATTACTGCTAGATAGTTGTATCACTTTAGAATGTTACGGTGGTTAAAGTTTTATGATTGTTAAAAGTCCATAGTTTGCTATGGAGATGTTCATGTTAGCGTAAGGCTTTATCTCTGTTAGACTCGCTTTCAACTGTTCAAGACTTATAGATATGTTCCTTATTGCTTTTGATGTCTGTTATTTTCATAAGGTTTTCTCTAGTAAAGATTACCAAAGTATTTTTTGAAAACAACAGCATATGTTGTTTCTTAACTTTTAATTTATTGACTCTGGTTTAATTTAGTAATTTATTTTTATAGTTTTTTTAGCTCAGAACTGCAAATATGTATGTAAAGTATTAGATATAGTATAACTAATTAATTGCAATACAAGTTAATTTATGTACTATATATATTTATCGTCATCCTTTTATTTTTGACTGTGATATATTTGTAGGAATATTTATTGATAAATATTATAATTTATAATACAAAAATGGGACTTTTATTCTACCTCCTTCAAAATAGAAGTTCTAATTGAATATCAGAATACTGTTATTAACATTGTTCAATGTTTAACTATAAATTATTTCTTATTATATGTAAATCATTTTATAGATTACAACTATAAAGACTTCAATAAGAAGGCAGAAAACACTAGTATAAGAAAGCCGTAAGATCCTATCAAAAGACTACTTGTAAGTGAAATATAAACGTGTGCACTGTGCAGACCTATCAGTCTATAAGCAAGTGTACAGTGACAGTGTAGAACTACTGAATTTATAATGCAACCGTGGGGTGGATCATAGATATATAATATACTAGCAACGGAGCCCGTTGTGGTTAAATACAACGGTCTCTGGGAAAATAACAGTTATCAAATACATGCACCACTTTACTCACTAATATTAATGGTACAGATAAATCACAAAACTTTAGAAACGCATATATAACATAAGGAACTCAATTTAACACTAATGCAAACTGTGAACAACAACATGCAAACAAAGGTAAATTAATAAAATATCAATACAACAATCACCTGTTAAATTATCAGCACATGTTTCTATATCATTAGGATGCATGACAAACCCATTACTGCCAAAAATCTAACTTTCATAATTATTTGCAAATTAACATGGATGAAGCTTTCCATTAACATATTTTTAATACAATCTGTCAAGTAGAACTGTAGATTTAATTCTACAAAGTTGAACAAACATATCTCTAATTCGGTATTTTCTAACAACTATAAATTCGGAGGTTTGCTAGGCCTTTAGCAAAAAACTTTTGAATGGTGAGGAAATTGACCAAAGTGGAAGGTGATATTCAGAAAGAGCATAATATTTCCTACAAATTGATACTTGAAAATACTCAATAAAGAATAAAGGCAGCCTAAAGATGGCTACAAATGGAAGCTTGTTATTCTCTGTATACACTAACTTGGCGTCTGAAACCTTGACTACCTGCGGACGGACCGGGGCCGTATAATAATAGAAACTTGAATGGTGCCGTTTTAAATGTATTCTTGTTTTTGTTTTTTGTTTTTAGGTACTAAAAATGTTAAATAAAATCAAACTTTACTTATTATTTTCAAATCTACACCAATAAGGGATTTTAACAACCCGTTAATTCTAATTGACTAAATAGATACTGAAGAACTGTAGATTTAGTTACACAAAGATTAACAAAAATATCTCTTACTCAGAATTTTGTCCCCACTTTAAATTTGGAGGTTGCTTAGCTGTTTTGCATTAACTTTTAAATGGTGGTTAAATCGAGTAAAGTGGACGATGTTATTTATGAACTCATTGTTATCTTGCAGTTATACTTACAATGTGAAACAGTTTTATGTTATTCCCAACTTAATTATTCATCTGTCCCATCCTCGACTGATGTGAGGTTAGAGGCGGGAAGTGACTCAGTTAGCTCTGTGACTCAGGGCTCAGGAAAATAGGAGTCAAACAGTCCAGCGTGACGGAGACTACTGTCAGTTACACGTCCACTTGGCTGATGAGCGCATCACTCATATTGTCTATTGTAGGTTTAGTGTTTAGTTAGCTGATGAGTATGCTGCGGGAACTGACTCAGTTAGCTCTGACTGTGACTCAGGGCTCAGGAAAATAGGAGTCAAACAGTCCAGCGTGACGGAGACTACTGTCAGTTACACGTCCACTTGGCTGATGAGCGCATCACTCATATTGTCTATTGTAGGTTTAGTGTTTAGTTAGCTGATGAGTATGCTGCGGGAACTGACTCAGTTAGCTCTGTGACTCAGGGCTCAGGAAAATAGGAGTCAAACAGTCCAGCGTGACGGAGACTACTGTCAGTTACACGTCCACTTGGCTGATGAGCGCATCACTCATATTGTCTATTGTAGGTTTAGTGTTTAGTTAGCTGATGAGTATGCTGATTGGTATGGCTGGCACTCTATACTGTATACTGTATAGTTAGTTACTGAGATGAAGCAAAACTTGGATTCCCCCAGAAACCATAGTTTAGAAAATCAATTCTCTTCGTTATAAACGTATACCATACGGATGAAATCGTATGACAATACAACTTTTGATCACGTAGCCTCAACTCAAAATTCAAGTTACCAAAAAAGATTGTTTATGTTAGTTTCGTGTAAATCCTACTTATATTAGTATGACACTCAAAGGATCTGGGTAAACTTATACAAACATGTTTTTGTCAATTCCCCTTCCCAACAGTATTTATAGAAAACTCATATTATTTTAACTGTATACTTTAGACTTGTAAGACAAAAACCATTGATCTTAAGGTGATGACATTCCTCATAACCGATTTAGAAACAGTTATAACATAAATAAATTACCGAAATTGAAAAACAACAAAATGAGGACGGTCGATTTGCACATAGACATAAACTTGGATGATGGAAATGCCAGAAGTATTGTTGCTGGGAACATTACCTAGGACTTCCCCATATCCTGGACTTCACCTGCATGTACACATAATAGTTCTACCAGCGGCTGTTGCATTGAGTGTTTGATGCTTTTAACCACAATCCAAAGTATAAATTATCTATTAACCGTGCTTTAGGCTATGTAGGACTTAACTTGTTCCAGAACTAGATAGAACCTGTATGGTATGGTGTTTTAAAGCCTTATATCAAAACTTTAGAGTTGTTAACGGTTCTGTTCTGTATCCTATATGCGTTCTTGGTATAATATACTGTATTTTACCAAGATATTAAAAAAAATGTTATCAATTATTATTTTATTGGTAATGTTTTAGTCTATTTGAGATATATACTGTTATAAAACTAGATAGACCTACTTATTACGTTTATAAATTAAAACTCGAGATTCTAAATCTTTCTGTAAGGACACTAACACATTCTGTGGATGGCTCACACAACTAGGTTCTTTATAATAAAAAAATGGCTACAACTGGTCCATATAGATGGGAAGTCTACTTTGACTATTGACAATAAAATCTATAATTAAAATTATTTATCAGCTTCAAGTTAAAACCGTAGTTCCAGAAACGTTGGCATTGGAGTAAAGACTCGAAGTTGGTGAAACTCCTCAATACCATCGAGTTTCTCGGTTTATACTGCATCAGTTTCCACCCAGAGAACTCAGTTTCTGCAATGACTCTTTTGCAGCTGCACTCAGGTCAATGAACTATCATTGGAGATCGTAAGTTAAAATACGAAAAGTACAATGTGTCTTAAAACAGTCATAACGATATCTAATATTATTAGGCCTACACAAAACTTTACTTTAAATAACCAATTCCAAGGACCATTTAAACTTTCCGTGTTAATGATTGAAATTACCATTCATGTTTTCCATGAGGACATATTGTATTTCAAAACGACGCATACATATTTTCATGACATTTTTTAAACTGTTCATGTTTCACAGATGACTGCGGCCTGTGGTATGCTGTAGGCTGTAGTTTGTATTGTAGACCCAGCACGGTACACGGTAGTAAATCGAGTGATAAGGTAAACACTTCGTCGATTGTTGTAAATGCCATTCCATTCAACTGAATCATCATTTGTGAGAGTAGGCCTACACTGTTCAATGAAATTATGTAAATCACTATCATTTGGTACATCACACAATGATGCATGGGGATGAATTTGGCATAGCTTTGACCTCTCGTTTGTATATTTATTTTTATAATTTTCTAGCAACAAAATTTCTGACAACAATTTTGCATATTTTGATATTTACTCGTAACAATCAAAAGTGATCAAAATGCTTTGGCAGAAGGTGCGATCACTATTCCTCTACACTGTACAACGAATGCAATCATATACATATTGGATACCAACAGAGTACCCCTCCTTCATACGGGGTAAGCATTTAAGGATAACGTGTTTATTGCAGTTTTACCTGTAAAAATATAGCAGTTATCGATGAGTAAGAACCATCGATCAGGTCGATCAGGTTATGAAATAGGTATTCTAAAAGTAAAGTATGATTACGAAATTGTATAACAAACCAAATTTAGTAACCATTATTACCATAAATATTTAAACAATATGTGTAAAGAGTCCTTTCTTCGGAAGAAAAACATCTATATTGTATGGCCTAATCCAGACACATGTAAGTACTTTCAAATTGTAAACAAAAACTACCAAGAGAATTAAAATTATGTTTGTACAGTAGCTATCAATAATATAATTTACGTAATTATGAAAACTTGAAGACGGAGCCTAGACTAATACAGGTAATGACTATATAATCTTACTTGTTGTCTTAATCATACAATAAATACCAGCCACATAGTTTCGATCACCTACTGAAGCCAGCCAGCTGTATGGCATTGGAAAAAATACAGTTCTGCTGGAAATATAAATTAAATTAAATACTCACCTCAAAACTTTGAAAGCCAAAGGGGCAAAGCCCTCGGTCAGTATCGACAAGTGAATAGTCTAAAATGGATTCTTGGTAAATTTTTTTTTAACTTAAGCCCAGTCGATTCAGCAGTATTTATATGATTGAGTAGCACACACATATACAGGCACATACCGCTCGATTTATTTATATAATAGTATAGGTCTTTATGTGCTGAGAGTTATCTAAATATAAATTATATATTATACTAAAGAAATGACCAATTACACCAAATTCTAAATTTTGAGAGGAAATAACCAAAAGTCATAAAAACAAAAATACGTAGACAAAATCATAACAATGAAATCATGGACAGTCGAATAAATTGCAACAGGCACAGGCAATGCAAACAACGTATATAATCTTTAAAACCCTTTGTAGCATACAAATAAAAGTAACATTAGTGAATGCGTCGTTATGCTTTGTCGCACAACCTTTTTTTGTCATAAGACTTAGATCAAATCCATTGGTGATTTGGCGGAATATGGACCCGGGACCTGAGGAACCCTCGCACAACCCTAGTACAAACAATGAAGCAACAAAATATTGCAACGAGCCTACTTTCTTAAAGAAATAAAAGTAATTTTGATTGGCTGGTAGGCCTACATTTTAGATACGACGATGAACCAACTTCTGTGTTTCAAGCTGAAATAAGTAGATGGTGTTATAATATAGGGGGCTTTGTACAGTAATTATAGCTAAACCAAATTAAGAATGAAAGTAAATAAGACTGCACTGACGATGATCAAGCATCGGCGAGGTGGTGGCGACGGACGCGCTATCTGATGTCTCTATATGCTAATACAGGACCTCACACAGTTCGCGGTCCTCACGGCATCACAGTGTTTCTGCAACAACCCAGCAACTCAGCAACACTGTGGTACAACGTTTCACCTCACACAGTTCGCGGTCCTCACGCCATCACAGTGTTTCTGCAACAACCCAGCAACTCAGCAACACTGTGGTACAACGTTTCACCTCACTCAGTTCGCGGTCCTCACGCCATCAGAGTGTTTCTGCAACAACCCAGCAACTCAGCAACACTGTGGTACAACGTTTCATCTCACTCAGTTCACGGTCCTCACGCCATCACAGTGTTTCTGCAACAACCCAGCACCTCAGCAACACTGTGGTACAACGTTTCATCTCACACAGTTCGCGGTCCTCACGCCATCACAGTGTTTCTGCAACAACCCAGCAACTCAGCAACACTGTGGTACAACGTTTCACCTCACTCAGTTCGCGGTCCTCACGCCATCACAGTGTTTCTGCAACAACCCAGCACCTCAGCAACACTGTGGTACAACGTTTCACCTCACTCAGTTCGCGGTCCTCACGCCATAACAGTGTTTCTGCAACAACCCAGCAACTCAGCAACACTGTGGTACAACGTTTCACCTCACTCAGTTCGCGGTCCTCACGCCATCACAGTGTTTCTGCAACAACCCAGCACCTCAGCAACACTGTGGTACAACGTTTCACCTCACACAGTTTGCGGTCCTCACGCCATCACAGTGTTTCTGCAACAACCCAGCACCTCAGCAACACTGTGGTACAACGTTTCACCTCACTCAGTTCGCGGTCCTCACGCCATCACAGTGTTTCTGCAACAACCCAGCAACTCAGCAACACTGTGGTATAACGTTTCATCTCACTCAGTTCACGGTCCTCACGCCATCACAGTGTTTCTGCAACAACCCAGCAACTCAGCAACACTGTGGTACAACGTTTCACCTCACTCAGTTCGCGGTCCTCACGCCATCACAGTGTTTCTGCAACAACCCAGCACCTCAGCAACACTGTGGTACAACGTTTCACCTCACTCAGTTCGCGGTCCTCACGCCATAACAGTGTTTCTGCAACAACCCAGCAACTCAGCAACACTGTGGTACAACGTTTCACCTCACTCAGTTCGCGGTCCTCACGCCATCACAGTGTTTCTGCAACAACCCAGCACCTCAGCAACACTGTGGTACAACGTTTCACCTCACACAGTTTGCGGTCCTCACGCCATCACAGTGTTTCTGCAACAACCCAGCACCTCAGCAACACTGTGGTACAACGTTTCACCTCACTCAGTTCGCGGTCCTCACGCCATCACAGTGTTTCTGCAACAACCCAGCAACTCAGCAACACTGTGGTACAACGTTTCACCTCACTCAGTTCGCGGTCCTCACGCCATCACAGTGTTTCTGCAACAACCCAGCACCTCAGCAACACTGTGGTACAACGTTTCACCTCACTCAGTTCGCGGTCCTCACGCCATCACAGTGTTTCTGCAACAACCCAGCACCTCAGCAACACTGTGGTACAACGTTTCACCTCACACAGTTTGCGGTCCTCACGCCATCACAGTGTTTCTGCAACAACCCAGCACCTCAGCAACACTGTGGTACAACGTTTCACCTCACTCAGTTCGCGGTCCTCACGCCATAACAGTGTTTCTGCAACAACCCAGCAACTCAGCAACACTGTGGTACAACGTTTCACCTCACTCAGTTCGCGGTCCTCACGCCATCACAGTGTTTCTGCAACAACCCAGCACCTCAGCAACACTGTGGTACAACGTTTCACCTCACACAGTTTGCGGTCCTCACGCCATCACAGTGTTTCTGCAACAACCCAGCACCTCAGCAACACTGTGGTACAACGTTTCACCTCACACAGTTTGCGGTCCTCACGCCATCACAGTGTTTCTGCAACAACTCAGCACCTCAGCAACACTGTGGTACAACGTTTCACCTCACTCAGTTCACGGTCCTCACGCCATCACAGTGTTTCTGCAACAACCCAGCAACTCAGCAACACTGTGGTACAACGTTTCATCTCACTCAGTTCACGGTCCTCACGCCATCAGAGTGTTTCTGCAACAACCCAGCACCTCAGCAACACTGTGGTACAACGTTTCACCTCACACAGTTTGCGGTCCTCACGCCATCACAGTGTTTCTGCAACAACTCAGCACCTCAGCAACACTGTGGTACAACGTTTCATCTCACTCAGTTCACGGTCCTCACGCCATCAGAGTGTTTCTGCAACAACCCAGCAACTCAGCAACACTGTGGTACAACGTTTCATCTCACTCAGTTCACGGTCCTCACGCCATCACAGTGTTTCTGCAACAACCCAGCACCTCAGCAACACTGTGGTACAACGTTTCATCTCACTCAGTTCACGGTCCTCACGCCATCACAGTGTTTCTGCAACAACCCAGCAACTCAGCAACACTGTGGTACAACGTTTCACCTCACACAGTTCACGGTCCTCACGCCATCACAGTGTTTCTGCAACAACCCAGCACCTCAGCAACACTGTGGTACAACGTTTCAACTCACTTTTTTCGCGTTCCACAGTGTTTCTGCAACAATTTAGAACCTAAGCAATACTGTAGTCTTTTCATTCTTCTTTGACCAAGAAATAATAACTGAAAATATATTAAAATGGTATTTATTACTGTTTGGAAACATTTTTATTGTATGTATTTTGTTTAGAAAGAATGTACGTTACACAGGGTGAGTCTTCTAAGCTGTCCTAAACAGATTACAGACAAATGGCTTGACATACGGAGATGAAAGAAAACTTTTCCCCTCTAATTTATACCCAGGGAACAACGTAAAAATATTTTTTACAATTTTTAAAATACAGAGTATTTGAGAAACTGAGGGTCGTGGGTTCAAATCTCAGAGTTTTCCAATGTAAACATGATGTCACGTTAAGCACCATTTTAAAGCTCTAGACTAGCAAACAATTTAGTGAAAAAAGAACTAATTCATCTTTATCCGTTTCAAAATGGTGGTCATTTGTAAGGAAAATATTTATATTTACAGAATACTCTGTATCTTGGAAACCTCTAAACCTATTTTCGTTCTGTTTGAAAATCCTTAATCCTCGTGAGTTCAGCTTTAGCTTTATACCCATGCGACATGTAAAAAATTTAATTTTTTTTCAACGGTTTTATATTTTTTAATTTTGGTAGCTTTGTTAATACATTTTTTTAAATAAAAAAATATGTCAAATGGCGTATTATTTTGAAGTTCTTGCAAAAGCAAACAACGTTTAATTTTAAACTCACCGTCTATCTTTGGTAGCTTTCTCGTAGTTAACAAAAAACGCCAATTGCCCATATAAAAACCATGTCAAACGTGCAGTACTTGAGATCAGTGGATGCAGATACACTATTAAATACAGTAATGCACGTTTAACATGGGTTTTGTATGGGCAATTGGAGTTTTTGGTTAATTACTAGAAAGCTACCAAAGATAGACGGTGGGTTTTAATTAAAAAGATGTTTGTTTTTGCAAGATCTTCAAAATGATACGCCATTTGACATATGTTGCTATTTATATTTTTTATTTACTTGGATATCAACATTTAAAAAAATAATTCATTGAAAAAATATTTATTTTTTAAAAATGTTGACACGTTGCATATAAAATTAATGCTGAACTCACGAGGAATTTTGAAACAAAACGAAAATAAATTTAGCGTTTTCCAAGATACAGGGTATTCTGTTATTATCAATATTTTCCATACACATGGCCGCCATTTTGAAACGTATTAATATACCACTAAATTGTTTGACTAGTCTAGAGCTTGGTGCATAACATAACATATGTTTACATTTGAAAACTCTGAGATTCGAACCCATGACCCGCAGTTTCTTGAACACCCTGTATTTAAAAAAATGTTTAAAATATTTTACGTTGTTCTTTGGGGGAAAAGTTTTGTTTCATATTTGTATGTCAAGCCATTTATCTGCAATCTGTGTAGGACAGCTTATAAGACTCACCCTGTATAGTACATGGATTAATACACTACTTACCACGTTACTACACAATAACAAAGGCCGCCTTCTCTCAGCGTAAACATTCTGATAGCATATTGTATACGTGTGGGGTCAACAGCGAACAGCTGGCTTACAACAACTATACAACACAGTCTAGACGCACACAAACATTCCAGCCTACGTCGCTTTGTGCTATAAACTATAAGATATACCATTGAATATTATAACACTCTAAAAATTTTCAATTAGGTTTTTAAATTTAAACAAACTGCCAAAACCATGTTCATGTAAGTATAGGCTATTATAAACGAAGGATTTTTAAAATCGACTGTAAAATAAATTTTGTGTTGTGGATAAATAAATTTGTTGTGGATTGCCAGGTTAAAAGTTCCATAATAATAAATTGGAATTCCACTGAAACCTAAATAATAATAGCCAAAATTAGTTATAAATAAAGCGTGAGTTTCCTTTACAATGTTTTTACAATCGAAATAAACTAAACCTAACTATGGCTCAGTCCTCGGTACAGCAAATTAAATAAGCATTTGAACCAGTAGCATTTAACTTTCAGGGGTGCATACATAAAAAAAGACCAACAGTGCTTTGAGACGAAATAAATGTAAAATAACTCACAACTACACTTCGGGGAATATACTAAAAAAATATAACACAACTTGTGCATGATATGGAATAACACGAAGGATTACTGGTTTCATAAGTAATATATTAGTCTATTCAGTTCCTTTATGCTCTTGTGAATATTTCACCCAACCCTTTGCGTGGTGGCGCTGTTACAGATAACATACGTCATGAGAAATTGTGTGTTGTCTATCCTCACTGCTTACTCGATCGGCTTGTTTAGTAACTGTGTGCAGAGTACGGCTGATTACTCCGTATTGTAATACATGCAATACGAAGATTGTGATGTCACTAACTAGTTAAGGTTTTTTTTTCAAAAGAGGTATGCCTAAACCCACAAATGGAATATTTTAGTGACCTGGACGTTCTCTCTTGGCAAGCGCGGTCAAAGGGTCCCAAAGCTGCTGAGGGGTAGACCAGGGACCCTCTGACCGCCTTCGCTCAAACGTTTTACGACGGCCCCTTGTGTGGATTGTCTGGGGACCCTCTGTCCTACAACCACAAACGGTTAACCTGAATTATGCGCCCCTCTCTTCATTAGTCACCTTTTAGCTTTCCTACTAGCTTCAGTACTATATCAAAGTGGGACGTTTCCATTAGCGTTGTATGGATAAGTTAGCAACCCCCAGTTACAATTTTGGCCTCTCGAGTTAAAAAGGTCGTTTGTGCAGATATATTAGTATTCCTGATGTTACGATGTATAGGCCTACCTCTGATTGTAGAGGTACAGTAGGTGGTAGGTGCTTGGTGGCGGCCGCGACCTGTGGGAACGGCTTGCCATTATGCCTGAACACGACCCTTCCATAATGTGTGCAGTTTTTATTGATTTACTGGTTGACTTATAGGACATCGGGCCTTTGTCATGCAAACTGACCTGTGCAGCACGGACTGGCGGAACATTGGCTGAACCTCGAAATGCAATCTTCCAGTACCCTGGCCGATATAAGGAACTGTGTTACTTACTATATCTGGTCATTGTATCAAGTGTCGAACTGGCCTGTGCAGCACGGACTGGCGGAACATTGGCTGAACCTCGAAATGCAATCCTCCAGTACCCAGGCTGATATAAGGAGCTGTGTTACTTACTATATTGTATCAAGTGTCGAACTGGCCTGTGCAGCACGGACTGGCGGAACATTTGCTGAACCTCGAAATGCAATCCTCCAGTACCCAGGCTGATATAAGGAACTGTGTTACTTACTATATTGTATCAAGTGTCGAACTGGCCTGTGCAGCACGGACTGGCAGAACATTGGCTGAACCTCGAAATGCAATCTTCCAGTACTCTGGCCGATATAAGGAGCTGTGTTACTTACTATATCTGGTCATTGTATCAAGTGTCGAACTGGCCTGTGCAGCACGGACTGGCAGAACATTGGCTGAACCTCGAAATGCAATCTTCCAGTACCCAGGCTGATATAAGGAACTGTGTTACTTACTATATTGTATCAAGTGTCGAACTGGCCTGTGCAGCACGGACTGGCGGAACATTTGCTGAACCTCGAAATGCAATCTTCCAGTACTCTGAATGATATAAGGAACTGTGTTACTTACTATATCTGGTCATTGTATCAAGTGTCGAACTGGCCTGTGCAGCACGGACTGGCGGAACATTGGCTGAACCTCGAAATGCAATCTTCCAGTACCCTGGCCGATATAAGGAACTGTGTTACTTACTATATTGTATCAAGTGTCGAACTGGCCTGTGCAGCACGGACTGGCGGAACATTTGCTGAACCTCGAAATGCAATCTTCCAGTACTCTGAATGATATAAGGAACTGTGTTACTTACTATATCTGGTCATTGTATCAAGTGTCGAACTGGCCTGTGCAGCACGGACTGGCGGAACATTGGCTGAACCTCGAAATGCAATCTTCCAGTACCCTGGCCGATATAAGGAACTGTGTTACTTACTATATCTGGTCATTGTATCAAGTGTCGAACTGGCCTGTGCAGCACGGACTGGCGGAACATTGGCTGAACCTCGAAATGCAATCCTCCAGTACCCAGGCTGATATAAGGAACTGTGTTACTTACTATATTGTATCAAGTGTCGAACTGGCCTGTGCAGCACGGACTGGCGGAACATTTGCTGAACCTCGAAATGCAATCTTCCAGTACTCTGAATGATATAAGGAACTGTGTTACTTACTATATTGTATCAAGTGTCGAACTGGCCTGTGCAGCACGGACTGGCGGAACATTGGCTGAACCTCGAAATGCAATCCTCCAGTACCCAGGCTGATATAAGGAACTGTGTTACTTACTATATTGTATCAAGTGTCGAACTGGCCTGTGCAGCACGGACTGGCGGAACATTTGCTGAACCTCGAAATGCAATCTTCCAGTACTCTGAATGATATAAGGAACTGTGTTACTTACTATATCTGGTCATTGTATCAAGTGTCGAACTGGCCTGTGCAGCACGGACTGGCGGAACATTGGCTGAACCTCGAAATGCAATCTTCCAGTACCCTGGCCGATATAAGGAACTGTGTTACTTACTATATCTGGTCATTGTATCAAGTGTCGAACTGGCCTGTGCAGCACGGACTGGCGGAACATTGGCTGAACCTCGAAATGCAATCCTCCAGTACCCAGGCTGATATAAGGAACTGTGTTACTTACTATATTGTATCAAGTGTCGAACTGGCCTGTGCAGCACGGACTGGCGGAACATTTGCTGAACCTCGAAATGCAATCTTCCAGTACTCTGAATGATATAAGGAACTGTGTTACTTACTATATCTGGTCATTGTATCAAATGTCGAACTGGCCTGTGCAGCACGGACTGGCGGAACATTGGCTGAACCTCGAAATGCAATCCTCCAGTACCCTGGCCGATATAAGGAACTGTGTCACTTACTATATCTGGTCATTGTATCAAGTGTCGAACTGGCCTGTGTAGCACGGACTAGCGGAACATTGGCTGAACCTCGAAATGCAATCTTCCAGTACCCTGGCCGATATAAGGAACTGTGTTA